GGAGCAGGGCGGGCATGAGCCCGACCACACGGGAAGCAAAGCTCCTGGGTGGAGGGAGGTCCTGGCGATGGATAAGACACGCCACAGTTTCCGGGGTATCATGCGACACACTCAGGCATTTGTCCTGCGCGCAGGTGATGGGCTCCGGGTAAGGGACTAGCAATCCATCACCATGCAAGAAAGTCTGTCGCAGTTCCCAGGTAGAGAGATGGAGAGCCTGGGAGACCAGGTCCCAGGTAATGTCCGCCGTGCATAGCCCTAACAGCCTATCCCCATCACGCAGGGCCCACGCCCTGTATCCTGGTATACAAGGAATCAGGCATTTAATATGCCATGCATCACACCAGACATCTGCTAACACGGACGAGACCTCAGGGAACAATCCCGGCTCACACATGGATGGTTGAGGTGGGGTCTGCCACGCCATGGCCTCTTGTGGGAAGCCTCCCGGCCCGGCAACTGTTTGGGTGGCCTGAGAGGTGCGTGGACCTGGCCTGCCCAGAGCCGGGCGTGATGGCACTCGCATGAAGGTGAGAGAACCCGCCTGAACCTGGGCGAAATGAAGCTGGGCGCGGACAATGTCAGCTTGGAGCTGGACATACCAGAAGGAGCTGCCTGCCGACCTAGCGAGGGGCATGGACTCCCACGTGGAAACAATAAGGCCATACGGTCGCAGGGCTCGAAGCCATCGCGCCGCCGGAGTTTGCAACTTACCCAGAAGCCGAGCGAAATCAGCGTAGGTGTCGAAATCGCCCGCGAAGAGAAAAAGGAACCCCGAGTCAGAAGGATCAGAAGCCTCAGAAACCCTAAAAACCACGTGGTCTCTTCCGCGGCCGCAGTGAACAAAAACACGGTGAGGGAAATTGGCTCTAGTAGGAAGTTCCAGGAATGAGCCACCCAAGCTCTCTTGGGGCGGGAGGAGCGAATGCAACAGGTGAAAAGTCACCTCGGAGCCCACAGCGACCTGAAAACCTTGAAGGCCGCGGGAATGTGTCAACATATAGAAGGATTGCACGGGATCCAACCACATCGTGGCAGACAAATCAGGCCGAGCAAGGATCTGTCGAGTCAGATCAACCCGCAACTGGTCAGCCTCTAATCGCACCGGTAACACATCACCATGTCGGAAGGGAGGTGCAATCTCAGTGTTCACTTGCAGGGCATCAGTGGCTGCCAGGTCACAGACAAGAGTAAGAAGCTGAGAGGGCGTCGCATGACGTGGAATGTCGGCACACCAAACCTCGAGCCCAGCATCGAGCATTACAGTGGCCACGGCAGGAGCGCTCGAGGCCATGATAAGGTGGACATGAGTGACCGACAGACCAAGGTTAGCGGCAAAGATACGCGGCCGTCCTGACAAGCCAGCGAGTCGCAGGAGCTCAGCCCGAACCTCCCGCGCTGGCTGGGTCCCCAGGAACTCCAAGACATGGGCGTCCTCCGGGCCCCACAGCTTGAAGCTGAAACGTAAATGCTGCGAGCCACTACTAGGAACCGGCCAAAGCGGGCCATCGACCTCAAAGGCACCATGTTGCCAAAGGGTCTGAAGCCGCTGGTGTGCAGGGGGAGGAGCGAGGCGTGCTGCATCCAGGGCTGGCTTAGGCGACTCGACAACAACCCGCGGAGAGGATGGCTCACTCTGCGTGACCATAGCTAGGGCAACCTGGCTAAGACAAAACCAGAGGGCAACCCTAGGGGAGGTATTTATGCCTAAAAGAACCCCTCCAAGAAGGTGCCCAATCCTGGTCGCACGGGTGCAGGAGACATCCGAGGCTGGGCGGGCGTGCAACGAGCTGTCAGCATGGGTGGCGTCTTCCACAATGCCGTAGGCAGGACTGCTCACAGCATGCGGTGCCTCGGCAGGTATGGGAGCCCAGTCAAGCAGTGAAGGCATAGAGGGGGAAGAGCCAACCTGGCCCGGCAATATCGGAGGCAACGTGTCCGCCGCTCGAACAGTATGGTCCCAAGCGTCGCGGCCCCCAACAGCCCCATCTGAGCTGATATCATCGTGTGCGAAGATGTGAGGAAAGAAGAGGAGAGCAAACGGCGGGCCACCGGGGAGGGGCTGAGCCGCAGACACAGCGATTTCCTTGTGGAGGATGCCAAACCCGCCAGCCCTGCAGGTCGCGGGCCATTCAGAGGGGAGATCCCGGCCGTCGTCAATAGCCGTTTCCAGGGCACGCAGTGGGGTAACTGGCGGCTCCACGCATGTAGTCACGATGCGCCAGCCTGTGGGTCTGAAGTCGAGGATGCACGGAACGGTAGGGCTGGCACAGTGCACTTCTAAGAACTGGACCCGCGGCAGAGAAGGCAACGGCTGCCACACACGCATAATGCCACCGTCGGCAGTGGGCGACGCCTGCAGGGCCACCAGACGCCGGTATGTATTGGCGTCGGCGAACACAGGTACCTCCACATAAACCAGCCCGTTGGGCGTGAACAGGACGGCGTGATTGGCAGAGAAACCTGAGAAGAGCTCCAGAGGCGGCCCAGTAGGTGTTGCACTGACCTGCATCAAAGTGTCCAAGGTGAAAGGTGGCTCTAGGGACGCGCCAAAGAGCGGCTGCACCTGGGCGGGTTCAGGCCCATGCGCGAACTGGAGTGCGTCGACATTAGGGAGGATTAGGGGCTGAGAACCTAACGAAAACCATCCCAGACTACAACGCCCTAAGACTCCTTGGAGAGCCCGAAAGCGGCCCTGCTGCTCCAGGGCAGCCGCGAGCACCCGGCCGCAGGTGTCAGAACGCTCACAGCGGATCAGGCAAATGCAACCGCCCAAGGGCCGCAGGTCGACCGGCAGAATAATGGCATTCCAACCGATGTCCGGTGGCAAAAACAACAGCTGTTCCGCTGGCAGACCTGGCAAGGGGCTCTGCAACGAAATGACACCAGCAGCAACACCATCCGACCCCAGGTTCAACGCAATGCGATGGTGCAGAGCTGGGCCATGTAGGCGTTCGTCCGCCAGCATGGTGATGGGGCAAGGCAAAAGAGGTGGCTCCGAGGCCGAGCGCCCGAAGAACACAGCAAGCTGTCGCCTGGGACGGGGACTGGGGAACAGCAGCAGATTACAGGAGCGTCCGAGAGGAACCACCTCGCACAAGTCAGACTCCGCCTGAGCCGGGGGGATCGGACCCGTGCTGAAAACAGGGCGTCCCTCATGGAACCCGTGGGCCATCAGTTGAACCCCTTCCGCCGCGGGGAGGGATAGTGCAACCAGACCTTGGCCAATCACCGACAGCGCCGACAGGGCGCGGGCATCGATGCAACACAGGTACAGCAGGAAGAGGACCTTACGGGAACGAGTGCTCGGCTGATGACCACGCGCATGCTTGTGCAACCGGCCGATTCGAGAAAGGTCACGTGGGCACGTGCCACAAGGCCGGGCCAACCGACCACCCGAAGCACTACCCGGCATGCATGAAAGGACACTGTGGAGCATGAGATGCAGACCGGGCCAGCGACCCTGTGTGTGCGAAAAAAGCGATAGGGAGGGGCCAGAGCGGACTATGCACCTCGGACACCTTGGAAGCCAAGAACCCCAAGAGTCCACCAGATGGGCCGGACTGGAGACCATCCGGAATGCTGCGGCGGAGCCCCAACCCCTCGCTGACATCCAGGCAATGCAAAGGGCTCCTAGCTCGCAAAGAACAGCGAGGCAACCCGGCAGGGGAGGAGAACGGTGGATGCAAGTGCAAAGCCAAAGTCCTGAGGCGAGCACCCGTAGCCCGAGGGAGAAAACAGCTGACACGATGCCAAACCTGCGACTGGCTCGCCAGAAATCTGTACAAAGTCCTACAACTCTGTACAACACTATCAGGCATAGACTCAAGAAGGGGAGAGCCAGTGGAGCATGAAGATGCCACGACGCACCCTCATGCCATTCCACCTGGCCGGTCCTCACAAGTCTGGCTCGTCCGGCACTGCTCGTAGGGGGCACGGCATCGTCGCAAGGACTCGCAGGGCGAGAGAGCCCCAAGTTGCTGGCAGGAAACCAATGAGCGGGATGTCCTAGCTGAGAAGCTCCGCTGGGTAGAGCCATTCCTGCAACGTAGAAGGACCGGTGGCATCGATACTGTATAGGTGGCCTTGAGTGGCATGTGCCAAAAGCAACAAGCCCTGCCTGGCCTGGGGCACTGCCAACGGGCGTTCGCGGCAGGTCCCAAGCCAGACGCGCATCCTCTCCACCAGCTGCAGGACCTCCGACTCGGACTCCAGTTGCTGGACAGCATGACCCAGTAGGGTCCAAATCTCCTCGCCTTCCGCTACAATCGTCGGGGTCTGAGACAAGGTGCTGTAAAGGAAACACCTGCTCCTGACATTCGGAGACGGCAAGCTGGCCGACCACTGCAGAGCCCTGCTCCCAACATTGGCGAGATACCTGGAACCATGCTGTCGTCCATGTAAGCGGGGTCGTGGAAACGGCAGGGATAAGTTCCTCTTCGTCGGGTGCGGCTGCACGGCTGGGCCGTTCCGGCGTGAGCCCCGTAGCAGCCTTCGTCCACGGCTCTGCCGAGAGATCGAGCTCTCGCCTCGGGCTTTTTGAGGGGCGCGGATGTCTGTTCCCGCGCTGATGCCACCTTCGTTTGGCAGTGGTGTCCGCTCCCGAGGTGTCCATGCCATCGCCAGACGCCGAGGATCTCGCTGGGGTGACCGAGGTCAATGCATGGCCCGGAGCGACAGGACTGGGAGAGGCTGGAGGGGTAGCCGACCCACCAAAGCCCTGGCCTTCCAGCAGCGGTGCCCCATGAAGGCCTACTGCTCCCATGATAGAACCAGGACCAGAAGCCATAGCTTGGGGTGGAACCCCGGACCCAACATTCAGCTGTGGTCCAGGTGTTGGACCGGTACCCACAGCAGCAAAAGCCCGGAGCGAGGCCGCCAGGCGCAAGACTTCGGCCTCCTGAGGTTGGCTCCACACCGGCCCCATCGACGCCAGGGCCTGCGTAATCTGCTCGTCCGTACCAGACTCGAGGTGTATAGTAGCTGCTTGCAAGTCGCTGATGGCCTCGCTTTGGTCGCGATCCAGTCTGTCGGCGACCGTTTGCAACCTGGAGGTCAAAGCGGCCAAATGCTGTCCCAGCTTGCCTACCCAGGCAAGCGAGGCCTCTCGCAAGGCCTGCTTGGCCTTTGCGTTGCCTGACATCCTCTTCCCTAATCGATCGAGGATGTTGGCCTGCGATTGCGCTTGTTGCTGAGCCGTCCTGTCGGCGGCCACGACCATAGGATCTTTGAAGAGGCCTGAGGTGGCTCGCGCTGCAATTGCCTGGAGGGCCGAGACAAGCTGTGGCGGGTAACCAAAATGTAGGGCTTCCTTTTGCGACTCTTGCATAGTCGCAGAGCCCTTTCCTCTGCCTTTTTGTGGATTGTCGCGTTGGCGGGGAGGCATACTTCCGTGGTGAAGCCGAAGGAGGTGTGCCTCCCAGCGGGCCAAGGGCCTGATCCGGGAAGCTCGGCGAATATTGGATCGAACTCGTCGGCGCCTCCGGTGCCACGGGGGAGATCGCGGCCTGGTAGTCGTCGCTGGACCCCAGCCACAGCAAATATATACCAATAAAAAGCAAACAGATCAGGGGCTTCCAGGCGCCAGATCGATGCATAAACGAATAACCAACCAGCTCGATTTTCCCGACGGCCGAAGGCAGCGTAGGGAAAAGAGCACTTGAAGGAGAATGGAGCCACCACACCAGTAGTGGAGCAGAAGCACTGGTCAAGCCAATGACAGCAGTGCAGGAGGGATCAGCGCAGAGGTGAATCCCAAAGCCACTGGCCAATTAAATGACAGCAGTGGAAAGAAAGGCCCAGAAAATGGGCGGCCCCCTCGACCAGCAAGAAGGACCAGCGCCACCGAGATGGCTGGGGTCAGGTATATGTGGATGAGCTAAAACACCAAGGGTGAACAAGCACAAACTCACACTCGAGCCGTGACGCCTTAAACCCTGAACTCTAAATCCTAAACCCTGAACCCTAAACCCTAAACCCTAAACCCCAAATCCTAAACCCTAAACTGGGAACCCTGACACATTGGGAACTGGAGCAGGTCCAGGTTCGAAATCGACCTCACCGGGGCTTTCGGACCCTTCAGTCCCAATAAAGTAGGTGCCTTTAGGGTTTTGGGTTTAGGGGTTTAGGGGTGTAGGGGTTTAGGCTGGCAGTTGGCCTTTCATGGGGGCCCGGCTTTTGGGGGATAGGGATTTTCAAGGGCTTAGGGGTATGTAAGTTGTTTTGACGGCTTGTTTCAGATTGTTAGGATGTATACGGCTTGTCTAAACCCTAAACCCCTAAACCCTGAACCCCTGAACCCCTAAACCCCTGATCCCAAAACCCAAAACCCTAAACCCCTAAACCCTAAAAAACTAAAAAAACTAAACCCTGAACCCCTAACCCCTAAACTTTAAACCCTTAGGCCCTTAGGGCTTTCAGAGCTCCTGAGGTTGAGATTCCCAGAGAACCCCAAAATACCCCCTAAACTAAGGAATATATAGACCTTCAATCAGCATAGTAAGGGTTTAGGGTTTAGGGTTTAGGCCTCTACAGTTTAAGGGGCTCTCTGGGTTGTAATGGTTTATATCGCCTCTTGTTAGAGCTATAGGGATGCCCGGTCTCAAACTATAGGGCTCCGAAGGATTCGGACGACTCAGGACTTTGGGTTTAGGATTTCGGGCTTAGGGTTTAAGGTACTGAGGTCCCTATGAAACCCTTCCAGAACTGGTCTAAACCCGTCAAGACTTCCTGTTAACTCTCACATCCATGTGGGGGTTTCCGAAAATAGGGGAACCTAATTTCGTACCCCAAATAATAGGATCCTTATTATAAGGACCCCAAAATAAGGTACCCCTTATTTTCGGAAAGTCCTTTTTTGCGAGTCACAGTACAGTGTACCTCCAGCCCGAGAAGGCTTCCCTACCCACAGGCTCCTTAGTAGTTCCTTGTTGGGATTACCTTAGAAGATTCTAAATATGAACCATAAAAAGGAACTACTTAGAGGCCCATGGGTAGCGACACACCAAAGTTACGTAGACTGGGTCGTCTCGTCCACTGGTGTTCGCTGGGATCTTGTTCCGCAAGGCAATTGATCCCGCCGAGCAAAGGAGCTGCTTTTCATGAGGGGTCTATAAGGGTTCCTTTAAAGGGTGCTATAAGGGTTCCCTTAAGGGGATCTAAAGGGGTTTAGGGGTTTAGGGGTTTAGGGTTTTAGGGGAGTATGGTACAGACTTTACCAAATCACCAAACCCTCACGACCGAACCCTTGCAGAGGCTTGAAAGAAGTCTGGGTTGTAGTGCTGGGGCCCTGAAAAGCACTTATGAATAGGTACCTCTATCGGAACCATAGGGGAAATTTCAAAATTTCCAAAAGTGCCACCTAGAAAGTCTTCCAGGCGATCTTGGGTCTGTGATGCAGACGGTGCCACTCAGAGGGCGAAGCTGTCGTTGTTGATCAAGAGCAGATGGTGAGCTAGAGTCGTGTGTGGGATCCCCAACCCCTAAGTGTCCATGTACCCAAACAATATATACTTTGGCCTTGAAGCAGACCCTACATAGGTACTTTTGGGCCTTCAAATTATTTCCCAACATAAGCGGCCTGAAAACTTTTGGTTTCGGTGGATGTTTAAGCTATCGAATGTGGGTAGCTCACTAAAGTCACTAAAGCGGGGCCTACTTGCGGAATCCCCGCAGCACCGCACGTTAAGCAAGGACCCCAAGACAGGCTTTGATTTCTTAACGCATTTTAAGGGGAAAGCCCAAAAAGCCCTGAAAGCCCAAAGCCCCACATCACACACATCTCGAACCCTATCCTGGGTCCTACCTATAGTCTCCATTGTAGTTCCTTTTTGGGGTTACCTGTTAGGATCCTTAATATAGAATTGGTTAAACCAAAAAAGGAGCTACAATGGAGACTAAAGGTAGATGCTGCGACCCTAGCCCCGAAAACCATGAACCCTAGCAGCCCGAATAACCCTCCAACTACCCACGGATTTGTAGGCAAAGTGCGCGAGGATGGTTCTC